ATATATATATATATATATATATATATATATATATATATATATATATATGTATATATATATATATATGAATACATTTACATGAAGTGATATTCCGTGGATTGATTTCTTATGAAATTCATAAAAAATAAATTCATAGCAAATGAAATATATTCATAACAAATAAATTTATGTAAAATTAATTATTTATGAATGTATTTGTTATGAATTTATTTTATATGAATTTATTTTATATAAGTTGAAACGAAGTAGTAATCAGAGACCAGCAGCAGCAGCAGAGCGAAGCAATTGAGGCTTCCCTCATGCTCATGCACCAGCAATATCTGTACTGCTGCTGCTGCTGCTGCTGCTTCTGCTGTTACTGCTGCTGCTGCTGCTGCTGCTGCTGGTGTGCGCATGCAGCATGCGATCTGTGGGCCTCAATGCACCGTCAGCCTCCCTCGCGCCGCATCGGCATTCTCGAGTTTCAGGAGCTTCTTCGTCAGCGTCTTTTGGCTCGCAACGGAGTTTTGTATTTAATTCCAAACAAGGGTTGCATGCAGCCAGACGCATCAGCAGAAGCAGCAACAGCAGCAGCAGCAGCAGCAACAGCAGCAGCAGCAGCAGCACAGCAGCAGCAGAGAAAGGCTGATGCTGATGCTCAGATAAGCAGCAAACAAGACGCCGCTGCTTGGTGGAAATTTTGGGGCTTCGCGGAGCGGGCGGCGCGGACGGCCTGCAGTGTATTCTCGGCGAAGGCATCCGCAGCCTTGCAGCAGCAGCAGCAGCAGCAGCAGCAGCAAGAGAAACAGCAACCGCAGCAAAAGCAGACGCAGAAACAGCAACAGCAACGGGAAGAGCAGCATCGGGTAGAATGGCAACAGCAACAGCAGCAGCAGCAGCAGCAGCAGCAGCAGCAAGCGAACGAACAGCAACGATGGGGTCGGCCTTTTCCTCTGAGCTCCCCCCCACACAAAGGGCTGGTTGCTGCTGCTGCATATTCTAGAGTAAGCAGACGGGCGGGTGCTGTACATACACCTGAATCAATTGCAACGCTTTGCTCTATGTATAGTACAGATGTTGTCATGCTAGCTGCAGCAGCAGCAGCTGCTGCTGCTGTACGTACTGCTGCTGCTGCCGGTTTACGTACTGCTGCTGCTGCTGCTGCTGCTGCNCTGCTGCTGCTGCTGCTGCTGCTGCACGTACTGCTGCTGCTGCCGGTTTACGTACTGCTGCTGCTGCTGCTGCATGTACTGCTGCTGTTTCTGCAAGTACTATTTCTGCTGCTGCTGTTACTTCTGTTATGTATAGTGCTGCATGCTACTAAATTTTTTTTCTTTTTTAATTAAATTTATTTTTTTTGTTTTGTTGCTGCCTGTGTTTTTCTTGCAGCAAATTGTGGAGGCTTGCTGCGCGGCCATCGCTTTGGCTTTTGGGTTTTGTTGCTCGTGCTGCTGGCAGCTGCTGCTGCTGTTTTGTAATTTATATGATTTCTCTGCTGCTGCTGCTGCTGCGTCACCCTTTGAGAGTCTGCTGCTGCAAGGCCGAGGGCTTCTCCGCGGTGTATCGACAGCAGCGCAGCGGCTTCATACAGCAGCTGCAGTGTAAGTGTCTAGCAAGCAATCACAAAATAAAACCATCAGCAATGCAGCATAATTTTTATTGTAAATTGTTGGTCGTCACAGCAGCAAAACGAGGGCTTTAAACTGCTGCTGCTATGCTGCATGCCCTGTGCTGCTTCTGCTGCTGCTGCTGCTGCTGCTGCTGCTGCATCTTTCGTGCTCCGCCTGCTGCTGCTGCTGCTTCATATCCTGTGCTCCTGTTCATGTCTCTGCTGCTGCTGCTGCTGCTGCTGCTGCTGCTGCTGCAGGCGGCTGCGGCTTAGACGAGAACAGCCAGTTGCTGCTGAATGCAAAGCCTGTTCGTAGAAGGGGCGGCCAGTGCCTGCAGGGTGTTGCGGCGTTCATCGATAGAAAAAAATTATTAAAATAAATTAAAATAAATTAAAATAAAATAAATTAAAATAAAATAAATTAATTTTAATTTAATTAAATTTCCCTTCGCGCCCCCCTAACCCACAACTTGGGCTGTAGGGAGCCGCCGACTCGAGCTCCTGTGCTGCCCGTTGGCTGCTTGTTTGCATGCCTTTGCATGCGCATGCATGCAGATGCATGCATGCGCATGCATGCAGATGCATGCAGACGCATGCAAACGCATGCATGCAGATGCATGCATGCGCGCGCATGCTGATGGGCGTGCAGCACTTCTCGTTTTGGGGCTGAAAGGAGCAGCGACAGTTTTTTGTATTTTGTGACTGAAGGGGAAACTGCTGCAGCAGCAGATGCAGAGACAAAGACAAATATAAATTAAATAATAATAAAATTAATAATATCATTTCTAGTAATTATAATATTAGAATAGTATATTCATAATATAAACAAATTAAAACAAAACTGCGCCGAAAGCAAAGCAAACAAAACACCGCCTGTACTTATGCTGCAGTGTCTGTGCAGCTGGCGGCCAGCAGCAGATGTAAAGAAAGAAAAAAGAAAAAAATAAAAAGCAGAGAAGGAGAATTACTTTTTGTTGCAGCATTCCTTGCTGCTGCTGCTGTTGCTGCTGCTGCTGCTGCTGCTGCTGGGGCCCTTTTTCATATTATTTTGTTGTTTTTTCTATATTTTGTTTATCTTTTGTTTACCGCTGTGTAGCAGCAGCAACCTAGCAACGGTGACAGCCAGATGTGCTGCTGCCCCCCAAAGATAAGAGGCGGTGATGTTTCTTAATGCATGCAGCAATTCATAAATTAAATAAATAAATAAAATAAATAAATAAATAAATAAATAAATTTAAATAAATAAGTAAATAAATAAATGGGGTTTCTCATTTGTTTTCTGCGTTTGTTTACACTCGCAACCACCCGTGCTAATTGCAGTGTACGTACACCGCAAAACAAAATAATGAAATGAAAAGAGAGAGATGGGGTCTGCGCTGCAGCGCTCCTCAGCAGCAGCAGCAGCAGCAGCAGCAGCAACAGCAGCAGAAGCAGCAGCAACAGCATCAACAGCAGCAGCTGCGAAAGAAAACAAATAAAGATGCACAGAAAGTTTCTGAAGGCCTTCGGCCAGACCCCTCTGCTGCACCTTCTAGGGGAGCTATACAATCGGGGCTGCATGCGCTGCTGCTGCATGCGCTGCTGCTGCATGCGCTGCAGCTGCATGCAAGCCCCAATTTGCAAACACAACAGCAGCTAGAAGCCATGGTCTAACCATCTGGCTGCATCCCTGCTGCTGTTGCTGCTCCTCCTGCTGCTGCTGCTGCCTTCCCGGTCCACCATCAGTGCATGCATGCATCCACGCATGCATGCATGCACGCATGCATGCATGCATGCATGCAGGGCTAGTGTAGGTTTATGTTGATGTGTATTGAAGCCCTCCAGGCTCCAAGGGTCAGCAGCGAAGCACCACTAAGAGACGGGCTGCAGCTCAGATGCCTTATGTTGTGCTGCCCCTAAAGCAGAAGCAGCAGCAGCAGCGGCTGTGACAACAGCAAGTAGGTATCCAGCAAAGGGTACTGCAACAGCAGCAGCAGCAGCAGCAGCAGCAGTAGCAGCAGCAGCAGTACCAGCTCTGCTTCAGCTCCTCACTTGCTGTGGCTGTGCTCAGCTACTTTCTCTTTCAGCTCCGCCACTTCGTCTCGATGTCTGCAGCAAACCAAAAAGCAACGCCGCTAGCTACCTAGCTAGATGATGATGGCTAGCTAGCTAGAGGCTGGTGGCTAGCTAGCTTGCCGGCTAGCTAGCTAGCTGGCTAGCTGGTTAGCTAGCTAGCTAGAGGCTGGTGACTAGCTAGCTAGAGGCTGATGGCTAGCTAGCTAGCTGGCTAGCTAGCTAGCTAGAGGGTGGTGGCTAGCTAGCTAGCTAGCTAGCCACAGGAGAGAACACGCGTACTTTTGGTCTTTCCCAGGGCTCCGGCCCGCAGCTGCTGCCGGCGGCACAGAAACGCCCCGCCCCGCCAATCCACTCGGCTGCAGCAAAACAGCAGCAGCAGCAGCACACTCACCGTCAGCAGCAGCAGCACCCTCATCGTCAGCAGCAGCAGCACCATCATCAGCAGCAGCATTTGAAGCAGCATCATCATCAGCAGCAACATCATCAGCAGCAACATCATCAGCAGCAGCAACAGCAGCAACATCATCAGCAGCACCATCATCGTCAGCAGCAGCAGCACCATCATCAGCTGCAGCAGCATCATCATCAGCAGCAGCATCACCAGCAGTATCATCATCATCAGCAGCAGCATCAGCAGCAGCAACAGCATGCGTGTGTGGTGTGTGTGTGTGTGTGTNGTATCATCATCATCAGCAGCAGCATCAGCAGCAGCAACAGCATGCGTGTGTGGTGTGTGTGTGTGTGTGTATTACATCCATAAGGTCTGTAGCCCTTCTGAGGAGCCCATAGAGCAGCGGCTGCAGCAGCAGCCGCAGCAGCTGTGCTGCTTGCTTTGCGCTGCTGGTAGCGACGCCTAGCTGCCCCGTGAGGAGTACAGCAGCAGCAAGAGCGAGGAGCAGCAGCAGCAGCGGCAGCAGCAGCAGCCAGCTGCTGCTAACAAATGAAAACAACATCCCCAGCTCATCCCACCCAAGACACAGCAGCAAAACCCAACCCCAAAGAGGTACTGATCTCCATGAAGCTGTGCTGCTGCTGCGCTGCTGCTGCAGCTGCGCCTCGCGGCACTGCTGCTGCATCACTGCAACAGCTCTCCTTTGTATTGCTTGGGCGGCAATGGGGTCTATCAGGGGTCGAAAGAAAGCAGCAGGCATCGTGTGCTTCACTTCTTCTTCTCCTGCTGCTGCTCCTGCTGCTGCTGCTGCTCCTGCTGCTGCTGCTGCTCCTGCTGCTGCTGCTGCTCCTGCTGCTGCTGCTGCTGCTGCTGCTGCGTCCCCCTCGTCCTCCTTCATATCCTTGTCCTCGAGAGTCGACGACAGCAAACTCAGCCGCTTCAGCTGCATCTCCCGCAGCGTACTAATCAGCACTGAGAACAAACCCTAAACCCTAAACCCTAAACCCTAATTCTCCGGTATGCTGAGCAGCTGCAGGCTGCACCGAGAAGCCGCACTCGACTTGCTGCTGTGGAGCAGCAGCAGCAACACAGCAACACGAAAATATCAGCAGCACCACAAAAAAGCGGTACAGCAGCAGCAGCAGCAGCAGCATCAAAAGCACCGCAGCAAGCAACACGAGCAGCGCAGCAACAACAACAACAACAACAGCAGCAGCAACAGCAACAGCAGCAGCAGCAGCAGCAGCAGCAGCAGCAACATACTTAGACCCTGCAGCTTTCCATTGGAGAAGAGAGTATTCACGTCCTCGGCGGACAGCAGCTCCCACCGCCTCGGCTGTTCATTTGCATCGAAGGAGAAAAAATAATTAAACCTAAACAAAAAACATTATTTATTTATTTATTTATTTATTTATTTATTTGTTTATTTATTTATTTATTTGTTTGTTTATTTATACAGATATATATACACATGCAGCTAGCTAGCTAGCTGCTCGGCAGATACCCTCGCCACTCACTACTAGACAGCTAGCTGCTAGCTAGCAGCTAGCTGCACCTAGCTCTGTGTGCTCCGGTGCTGCTAGCTGCAGATAGCTAGCTACGCCCAAATTCCCAGCTAGCCGTGCAGCTAGCTGTGCAGCTAGCTGTGCAGCTAGCTGTGCAGCTAGCTGGGCGTTAGCGTGTAGCTAGCTACCCGAGACAGTGCAAAGACAACAGAAGCGGCAGAAACCGAAACAAAGAAAAAAGAACAAGACAAAACAGAAAAGCAAGAACAAGAACTGCAGCAGCAGCAGCAGCAGCAGAAGCAGCAGCAGCAGCAGCAGCAGCAGCAGCAGAGTGATTACCTTTCGATGATATAGACATGCAGACAGCCCACATATTTCTCAAGGGTCCTCCGCAGCTGCCACAAGGCAATGGTTCTGCATCGAACAGCAAATTCTGCTGCTGCTGCTTCTGCTGCTGCTGCTGTTGTGTCTCCTTCTTCTTCGTTGCTGCTGAGGCCAGCAGCAGCAGCAGCAAAGTAAGCAGCAGAAAGCGTCGCTGCTGCTGCAGCACGGCCTCGGCAAATCTCCCAAAACCCATCGGGAGTAAATTCTGAAAAAATATATCCACATATATCAGCGTCACAACACCTTACACTGCTGCTGCTGCTGCTGCTGCTGCTGCTGCCGCTGCTGCTGCTTCTTCTGCTGCTGCTGCTCCTGCTGCTGCTGCTTCTGCTGCTGNCTGCTGCTGCTGCTTCTGCTGCTGGTGCTACTAGTGCTGCTGCTGCTGCTGCTTGCCATGCTAGTGCTGCCGCTGCTGCTGCTCGCCATACTACTACTGCTGTTGCTGCTGCTGCTCCTTTCTCTCTTGCTGCTGCCAACTAGTAGTAGTACTATGCTGCTGTTGCTGCTGCTTCTGCTGCTGCTGCAGATGCCAGGTGCACACTACACTAAGAGCAGCAGCCGCTGCCTGTGCTGCTTCTGCTGTTGCTGCAGCAGCAGGTGCAGCAGCAGCAGCAGTTGCAGCAGCAGCAGCTGCAGCCTGTCTGCGGCCTCACCGAGAGCTGTGAGGAGCGCATCTAAGCCTACGAAGCCTTCATCGCATTTCTCCTGCAGCAGCAGCAACAGCAAGCAGCAGCAGCAACAGCAAGCAGCAGCGGCAAAAAAGCAACAGCAGCAGCACAAACCACAGCTAGCATGCCGCATCAACAAAGCCCCGAAACTGCTGCAGCGGGAGTACAGAAGCCAGCAGCAGCAGCAGCAGCAGCAGCAGCACGAAATGAAATGCAGAGGTAACACCGAAACAAAGTGAAACAGACACACCAACACCAGGCCCAGCAGCAGCAGCAGCAGCAGATCCAGCAACAGCAACAGCAGATACACCAACAGCAGCAGATCCAGAAGCAGCAGCAGCAGCAGCAGCAACAGCAGATCCAGCAGCAGCAACAGCAGATCCAGCAAGAGCAGCAGCAGCAACAGCAGATCCAGCAGCTGCAGCAGCAGCAGCAGCAGCAGATAGATCACCGCAATCGCTTGCTCAAGTGCACTTTGCTGCTTCTCCCGAATTGAATTTGCCTCCTGCTGCATCTCCTCTGCAAGCGCACATCGCATGCAGCAGCAGCAGCAGCAGCAGCAGCAGATGAAGCAGCAGCAAAAGAAGTAGCAGCATCAGCAGCAGCAGCACGTGCTGCTGCAACCCCAGCAGTGGCTGCAGCAGAAAGCAAATAGGCAGCAGCAGCTCTGCCTCGCTATCGAAGCAAAATGCATGCGCAGCAGCAAAAGAAGAAATGCAGCAGCACGGAGGGTGTTGCTCTTTAATACGAGCAGCAGCAACAAACAAACCATGCAGCAACAAACACAGATGCAGCAACACCAGTTGCTGCTGCTGCTGCTGCTGCTGCAGCTGCAGCAGAACTGCTGCAGCACTTGTGCTGCTGCAGCAGCAGAAACAGAGTGGAGAGGCACCCAAAAGATATACAAAAGACAAAACGGAGGAAAATAAAAAACACAAAAACAAAAAAAAAAAAAACAAAAAAAACAAAAAACAAAAGATGTATAGACAGATGAGAGCACAAAGACAACGAAATAAAGAAATACACAAAGAAGAAACAAAGCAGCAAACAAACAAACAAATAGACAAACAAAAAAACAAACAAAGAAACAAATATATAAACAAACAAACGAATAAACAACGAAACAAACAAACAAACAAATAAACAAACAAATAAATAAATAAATAAATAAACAAACAAACAAATAAATAAATAAATAAACAAATAAACAAACAAACAAGTAAATAAATAAATAAATAAACAAAAAAATAAATAAAGAAAAAAACAAAAGTATATATATTTCTTACGTCGCAATGCCGAAGCAAAGATGCTGCAGGGAAACTCCAGCAGTTCGCCGCTCTCTAACAAAATGCTGCAGCAGCTGCTGAACTCCTTGAACTCTGCTTCTGCTGCAGCAACTGCAGCAGCACTGCAGCAGCAACAGCAGCAGAAACAGCAGCAGCAGCAATTGCAGGAATAGCAACAGTAGAAGCAGCAGACAGCAGGCAGCAGCATGCATGTTCCAGCACGACTGCAGCAGCAGCAGCAACAGAAGCAGCAACAGAAGCAGCAGCAGCAACAGAAGCAGAAGAAACAATAGAAGCAGCAGCAACAGCTGCAAAAGCAGCAGCAGCAGCAGCAGCAGCAAACTGTGCAGCAGTGCCACACCTCCTCTTGTTGAAGGCAGCCCAGGCCTCGAGCATCGGCTCTGCCTTTCCCTGCAGCAACAGCAGCAGCAGCAGCAGCAGCAGCAGCAACAGAAACAGCAGCAGCAAATGAATAAACGCTCCAGAGAATGCGCGCTACGCACTATAGCATAGTTGTCTTTTGTTGTTGCTGCTGCTTCTGCTGCTGCTTCTGCTGCTGCTGCTGCTGCTGCTGCTGCTACTTTCTGCGTCTCTCATGGGCAGAAGACTCACAGGCGCGTCCCCTGGAGAACTGCTATACGCCTCCCTGTGCAGCAGCAGCAGCAGCAGCAACAGCAGTAGCAGCAGCAACAGCAGCAGCAGCAGCAGCAGCAGTAGCAGCAGCAACAGCAGCAGCAGCAGCAACAGCAGCAGCAGCAGCAACAGCGGCAGCACAATTCATTTCGTTCCCTTGTTTGTTGTATCTACCGCGGCTACCGCTAGTGTTGCTGAGGGGTTCGTCTGTTGCAGCACATGTCAGTACTGCTGCAGCTAAGCTGGTGCTGCTGGTGGCGTTTGCTGCTGCTGCTGCTGCTGTTGCTGCTGCAGCTGCTGTTGCTGCTGCTGCTGTTGCTGCTCCTGCTGCACCTGAATTTTTCTTTGTGTTTGTTGGCGATCCGTTCGCGGGCCTCTGACATCTGCGCCTCCACCATCGGCTTAAACAAACCAACCAGGCTGCAGCAGCAGCATGCACGCAGCAGCAGCAGCACGCACATTACCAGCAGCGGCAGCACGAGCAACATGCACACAGCAGCAGCAGCAGCAGCATGCAAGCAGCAGCTGCAGCAGCTGCACCATCCAGGGAGCAGCAGCAACATGCAAGGAGCAGCAACAATATGCAAGAAGCAGCAGCAAGAGCAGCAGCAGTAGCAAGAGCAGCAGCAGCAGCAGTAGCAGCAGCAGTAGCAGCAGCAGCAGCAGCAGCTGACGCTTCAACTAGTTCAGCTTTGACGCTGGTGCAGATCTTCTCCTGATAACGCGTAGCCTGCGACAAGTATTGTGCTGCAGCAGCAGCAGCAACAGCAGCAGCAACAGCAGCAGCAGCAGCAGCAGCAGCAATATAAACAGCATTAGCAATGGCAACAGTAGCAGTGGCAGCAGCAACAGCAGCAGCAGCAGCAGCGGCAGCAGCAACAGAGGCACGCTGCATGCAAGGAAGATATAAAGAAAAAAAAAACAAAGACAGACAGAAATACAAAGACAACAAAAAAATAAACAAATGCGGAAGCAAAGACAAACAAAACCAAAGACACAAACAAACGAAGAACAGCAAAAAACAGAGAAGTAAAAACAGCGAAAGACAAACAAAAAATATAAATAAATACAAAGACACAAGACAAAGACAAAAATAATATAAGTAAAAGTAAACAAAGACAACGCAGCAACAAAGACAACAAAAAGAAGACAGACAAATAACACAAATAAAAACAAATATAAAACATTACACACCAATGGCATCTCTTGCTATAGAAGCCAATTCACTACGTATTGCTGCTGCGTCTGTTGCTGCTGCTGCATCTGCTGCTGCTGCATCTGCTGCATCTGCTGCTGCTTTCAGCCGCTGCTTCTCTAGAGCAGCAACACGTGTTGCTGCTGCATGCAGCGCTTGCTGCTTCAGGTCTTGGCAGCGGTATATCGCCAGCATCTCCTTCTGATTAGGAATGTCTAGGTGAGACTGCTGCTTTATCGTCTCCTGCAGCAGCAGCAGCAGCAACAGCAGCAGCAACAGCAGCAGCAACAAATGCAGCAGCAGCAGCAAATGACTCCACCCCGTCGAATTGTCTCCACACATCGTTTCGCATCTGCTGACACAACTGGGCAGCTCTCGCCTGCTGCTGCTGCTCCTCTAGCTGCTGCTGNAGCTGCTGCTGGAGTTTGTTGCTGAAAGCTCACCCAGATGTTTTTTGCGTATGCGCCGAATCCATCTGCGGGTATGGCGCGGGTGTAAGACTTGGGGCTGAACTCCTTGGCCCATCTGCGGTGTACATACACTAGAAAAACAAAAAGATATGAAGCAGCAGCAGCAGGAAGAGAAGGCGACGAGGAGGAGCAGTAAAAGCAGATGGAGCAGCAGCAGCAGCAACAGCAATGACTACCATTCCTGCTGCTGCAACAGCAACAGCAGCAGCAGCAGCAGCAGCTCAACACGTGCAATTCAACTATCCCCGAAAAATATGCACCGACAACACATTGGTTGGCCATAAAGTTGCTGCTACAATAAATGCTACAGTCGCTGCTGCAGTTGCTGCTGCAGCAGCAGCTGCTGCTGCTGCTGCTGTGTTTGTTGCTGCACCTGGTTCTCAGGCGTATGACGTCCTCCTCGAATTGCTGCGGGGCCAGCAGTTTGTGTGCTAAGCCCATCACCTCAACTGTAAAGAAATCAGCAGCAGAAGCATGTGCTGCTGCAGCAGGCTGAACAAACAATACACACAAACCTATGCTGCTGCTCTTGCTACCGCTGCTGCTACTGCTGTTGCTGTTGCTGGGTTATGTCTGCTGCGGCGCAGGGCCCGCAGGGTTACTATCAGCGAACTGAAGATAGTGGCACACGACGCATGCAGTAAGACAGGACCAGCAGCAGCAGCAAGAACAGCAACATGAAGAGCAGCAGCAGCATAAAGAGCAGCAGCAGCAGCAGAGCGATTACCTTTTCTATTTCATCCCATATTTTGTTTACGTAATCCTTTATAATTTTCTCCTTCATTACGTCTGCCCACAACACAAACCCTAAACCCTAAACCCTAAACCCTAAAGACCAAACCCAAGCACTAAACCTAAACCAGATAAGCCCTAAAACTAAACCCTAAACCCTCGCAGCAATCAACAGACACCACAGCACCATCATCTGCAGTAACAATAACAACGAGAGCAGCAGCAGCCGCATGAAGAGCAGCAGCAGCCGCATGAAGGGCAACAGCAGCAACAGCAACAGCATGAAGAGCAGCAGCAGCGCGATGAATAGCAGCAGCAGCAAGATGAATAGCAACAGCAGCAGCAGCAGCTGACCCTCAGGGACGATTGTTGGTGCCCAGTCGCGGACTGCAAACAACAAAATAGTTTTAGGGGCGCTGAAAAACAAACAGCAGCACCAGCAAATAGAAAATAATGACAGCAACAACAACAGCAGCAGCAGCAGCAGCAGCAGCAACAGCAGGAACAGCATCATCACCACCATCCATAATCAACGACCAGCATCATCATCATCATGAAATCACCAACCATGAAACATGAAACATGGATACTCAACCAGAAATCATGAATCATCTTGGATCATCAACCAAGAAACATGAAACATGAAACATGAAACATGAAACATGAAACATGAAATATGAAACATGAAATATGAAACATGAAACATGAATTTCCTTGAATCACCAACCATTGTCGTGAATTATGAATAAAGAATACTGAAAAATTAATTGTGAATCATCAACTATCACTCATAAATTATAAATCGTGAATCAGCGATCACCACTCATCAACCATCAAACATGAATACTCAATCATGAATTATGAATCATGAATTATGAATTATGAATCATGAATTATGAATTATGAATCATGAATTATGAATTATGAATCATGAATCATGAACCACCAAGCATGAATCATGAATTATGAATCATGAATCATGAATCATGAATCATGAATTATGATTCATGAATTAGCGATCATGATTCATGAATCATGATCATGAATTCTGAATTCTGAATCATGAATCATGAAACATGAAATCATGAAATCATGAAACATGAAACATGAATCATCGATCACAAATTCTCAATCATGAATCATGAATCATGAATTATGAATTATGAATATAATTATGAATATATTCTGAAACATTACTAAGTGATCATGATTTTTTCTTTTTTTTTAAGAGAAACCTGCATACTTATCTTGCGAAACGAAGAGTTCTAGATGCGCCTCCATGACGGTTTTCAGCAGCGCGAAGCCTGAGGCTGTGTGGCATCCCAAAGCAGAGCAGCTTATATTAACAAGTAAACAATCAGCTAAAGCTAATGCAAATAAAGAATAATAATTCTCAGATGTTTGTCTTCTTTCTCCTCTCTCACGTGAATCTAAACCCTCCACATCTAATATCAATACAGGACGTTCAAGTGGAACCACACTACCGCTGCTGCTGCTCTCCCTGCTGCTGCTGCTGCTGCTGCTGCTGTTCCCGCTGTTTGTCTTCGGGAGATGATCTCTGCCCGCCCAGAGCCCCTTCGTTGTTTGTGAGTATCCTCTCTGGGCGTCCATCACCTGAAAGGTGCAGCCAAACAACGCGTTCATCAGCGTGCCTGCACAGAAACCGCAGCAGCAGCAAATGAAGCAGTAGCAAATGCAGCAACAGATGATAATGTAGCAGGTAATGCTGCAGCAGCAAATGCAACAGCACCAAATGCAACAGCAGCAGATGCAGCAGCAGATAGTACTGCAACAGATAATGCTGCAGCAGAAGGAGCAGCAGAAGCATGAGTAGCAAGAGCAAGAGCAGCAGCAACATCGCATGCGCACCACATCGGAGCAACTTCTGCTGCAGCAGCAGACAGCAGCAGAGACAGCAGCAGCAGCAACAGGAGCAGCAGCAACAACACAGGAACGTAGAAGTAGGCAATAGCCCACGACGAACACGAGGAGAAAACTCAGACCAGGCAGCCGCCCAGCAGCAGCAGCAGCAACAGCAAAAGCAGCAGCAGCAGCAGCAGCAGCAGCAGCAGTATTACTTTTGCCGCTGCTTTGAGATCCTAAGATTGTGATGACGTTATAACCGAACCCCAAATCGTCCAGCCCCTGCTGCCGCATCCAACTCTCCAGGTCCGCACTGAGGTGTACACACACAACAAACAGCAGCAGCAGCAGCAGCAGCAGCAGCACAAACGCAGCAACAGCAACAGCAGCGGCAGCAGAAGCAGCACGGCATAGAAGCAGATAAAAGGAAAAAGAAAAGGGGGACGAAGTCAATACGAAACGAAACAAACTAAACACAACCAGATTGCAAATGTACAGATTAAAACATGTGTGCTGCTGCTTCTGTTGCAGTTGCTGCTGTTGCTGCTGCTGCTTCGTCGTCATCATCTTCAGTGAACGCTATGGTGCACTCTCTGCCTCTGCTGCAGCAGATACCGCGGTTGCTGCCTCAGCTACCGCCGCTGCTGCTGCAGTTGCTGCTCTAGCTGCTGCAGCAACCCGTGTGTTTCCGTTGGTATAGTCTCCCTGCAGTTTGCTGCTGCTAGTGCTGCTGTGGTGCTGCTGTCGGCTTCAGTGCAGCAGAGGCATCAATGAGGCAGCGGCGGCGACAGCAGCAGCAGAAACAGCAGCAGCAGCAGCAACAGCAGCAAACGCAACTGCTGCTCCTCAGCAGTGAAATCCCTACAACATCCAGCGGAAGTAGCAGAAGCAGCAGCAGCAGCAGCAGCAGCAGCAGATGCAGCAACAACAACAGCAGCAGTCTCACGTCATCTCCCCATCATAGTCAATGACCTGAATGAGGTCACCGTCAGAAAGAGTCGTCATCTTCTTCTGCCGGTTTTGCTGCTGTTGCTGCTGCTGCTGCTGCTGCTGCTGTTGCTGCCTAGCTGCCGTTGCTACTGCTGCTGCTGCTGTCGCCGCTGTGGCTGCCGCAGCAGGAGCGTGGTAACCAGCTACAGGCGTTGCAGTTGTTGCCGCTGCTGGTGCTGGTGCTGTTGCTGTTGCTGCTGCTGTTGCTGCCGCTGCTGCTGCGCTGTTGTGGCGTTGGTCCGTAGGGGGGGGGGTTGCTCCGTCCCCAGCTGAGGCTGCAGCTGGTGCTGCTCAGTTGGCTGCAGGTTGATGCTGCTGCTGTTGCTGCTGTTTCTGCTGCTGCTGTTGCTGCTGCTGCAAGATAGGAGACCGTGCGGCGTCCCTGTGGGATCTGGTTCCTGCTGCTGCTGCTGCTGCTGCTGTTGCCGTTGCTGCTGCTGCAGTTGCTGCCCCTCCTATTGCTGCTGTGTGCGCAGTTTGTGATGCTGCATGAACAGCAATTCCGTCTCTCTTGCTGCAGCAGTTGTTTAGGTTGACTGTAGTAGACGTCGCAGCAGCAGCAGCAGCAGGCGCTGTTGCTGGTGTTGTGTTCCCGTTGCTGCTGCTGTTATCTGCTGCAGCTTTCTTCCTGTCTTTCTCTCTCTATAAGCAAAGCAGAAGCTTTACATTAGAAGATGTTAAATCAACTGTCTCCTTATCTAAGGAAGAAGCTGCTGCTGTGCTCGGGGCAGGTCTTGCCTGCTGCTGCTGCTGCCGCCGCCGCCGCTGCTGCTGCTGCTGCTGCTGAGTCTGGCGAGCAGCAGCAGAAGCAGCAGCAGCAGCAGCAGCAGCAGCTAAAGTAGATAAAATGAGCGCTGCGAGGAAAACTCAATGCGCCATATTAAAATAATATTTCAATTTTTGCTGCAGCAGCCGACAGAGGCAGACGAACCGACGCTGCAGCAGCTGCAGCAGCTTGTCTTTACATGAGGGGCCCAGGGAGGCCCTGCTGTTGCTGCTGTTGTTGCTGCTGCTGTTGAAGCTTGTGTCGCAGTTGCTGCTGCAGCAGTTGCTGCAGCTGTTGCTGCTGCTCCTCCGCCGCCTTCACACGACGCTCCCTGTGAGCCCCCCTGTCAACACTGACCCGGCGGCAGCAGCAGGACCAGCAGCAGCAGCAGCAACAGCAGCAACAGCAGCAGCAAAAGCAACAGCAGCAGCACCAGAACCTCCAGAATAAGCAGAATCACGAGAGGCACTTCAGGTGTTCCTGAGCGCAGCAGCAACAGTAGCAGCAGCAGCTGCAGCTCCTCCATATGTGAGGCGTGTCAAAGCATGCGTACTGCTGCTGCTGCTGCTGNAGCAGCAGCAGCTGCAGCTCCTCCATATGTGAGGCGTGTCAAAGCATGCGTACTGCTGCTGCTGCTGCTGGCCTGGAGGCTGTGTTGGTTGCTTCTCACTAACAATAGACGCAACAGCAGCAGCAGCAACAGCAGCAGCAACAACAGCAGCAACAGCAACATCAGCCGCATTAGCAGCAACAACGGGGGCAGCTGCAGCGTTAACGGCAGCAACACAAGCCTCACCAACAGCAGCCGGAGCAGCAGCAGGAAGCGCAGCAGCAACCTCATCAGCAGCAACAGAAGCAGCAGCAGCAGCAGCAGCAGCAGCAGCAGCAGCAGCGGCCGCGGCATGCGCATTCTGTTGCAGCAATGCCTTCATTGTGTCGTATTCTACTGGCATTAATATTGCTGCCATTCTTTCTTGTCTTCCTTGTGCTGCTGCTAGCTTTGCTGCTGCTGCTGCTGCTGCTGGGGGGTATTGTTGCTGCTGTGTCTCTGCTGCTGAAGCCCCTCGATCGCGACCTTGCAATTTATTTGTATCACCTGCCCTATGGCGGCGTGCGGAAAGGGAGGAGCAGCAGCAGCAGCAGCAGCAGCAACAACAGAAGCAGCAGCAGCAACAACAACAGAAGCAGCAGCAGCAGCAGCAAACCAACAACAGCAACAAGGACGCCATCGGATGATCCCGTTGATACTACCAAAGCCGCAACAAACCCCGCAGCTAACAACGAAAACAGCAGCAACAGCAGCAGCAACAGCGCAGCAGCAGCAGCAGCAGCAGCAGCTGAAGCAGAACCTGCTGCAGCAGCAACTGCGGCAGCTCCAGAAGCTGCTGCTGCGGGAGAAGCAGACACTCTGCTGCCTGCTGCAGCACCGCTGTTGAACCCAACAAGAACTAACGACTGGAGCAGCAGCAGCACACATCCGCTGCAGCAGCAGCAGCAGCAGCAGCAGCAGCAGCAGCAGTCGCCACTCCCCAACCCTGATTCAAGTGCTGCGTGCGAAGCTGTTTAGGGTTGTTGCTGCAGCAGCGACAGCAGCAGCAACAGAAACTGCAGCAGCAACAACTGCAGCAAGCGCTGCACGATGCCCATCAGCAACTGCTGCAGCAGTCAGCGGATGACCTTACCAGCAGCAGCAGCAGCAACAGCAGCAGCAGCAGCAGCAGCAGCAGCTGGCCGCTTGTAGTGAGCGGCATCCGGCTGCATCTTGGGTGGCTACAGAAGGAAGAATAGTAGAAGCAGCAACAGCAGCAGCAGCTGCTGCTGCTGCTGTTGCAGCAACACGCAGTAGCAGCAGCAGCAGCAGCAGCAGCAGTAGCAGCAGCGATAAAGATGGGGCCGTTGCAGGCACAGACACCGGGCAGCAGCGAGGCGGGTTCTGCTGCAGCTCGAAATCCTCCTGAAAGCAACGCTGCAGCAGCAGCAGCAGATGCTGCAGCAGCAGCAGATGCAGCAGCAGCAGCAGCAATAGCAGCAGGAGCTGCAGCAGATGCTGCTGCAGCGGCAGCAGCAGATCTGACGGATAGAAACACCGCTGCAGCAGAAGCAGCAGCCCTAGGGAGACAGCAAGAAGTCCCTGCTGCCACAGCAGCAGCAGCAGGACTGGTAGCAGCAGCACACATTGTTGCTGCTGCTGCTGATGCTCCTGCTGCTGCTGCTGCTGCTGCTGAGTACGGCCAGCTGGATAAGGCTGAGGACACCGCGAAGTCTGGCGAGACAGGCAACCCAGCAGCAGCAGCAGCAGCAGCAACAGCAGCAGCAGCAACAGCAGCAGCAGCAGCAGCAGCAGAATCTCCAGGTCGACAGGCAAGAGAAGCATCTGTCCAGCGAGAAGGCGGAGATGCAGCAGCAGCAGCAGGAACAGCAGCAGCACCTGAGGGAGAAGAAGCAGCAGGAGGAGCAGCAGAAGAAGCAGCAGCTGCCCAAGGAGAAGACTCTGCAGCAGCAGCAGCAGCAGCAGCAGCAACAGAAGCAGCAGCAGAGAGCCCTTCTCTCTGGTCTCTGCTTGCTGCTGACTGGCAGCTGCTGCCTCTCAATAGAATTGCTTCTCTTATATTTGAATCATTTGTTTCAGGGGGACGCTCGCTGCAGCGCGCCAGCAGCAGAAACAGCAGCAACAGCAGCAACAGCAGCAACAACAGCAGCAACAGCAGCAGCAGACGATCCTCATTAGAACCACACGCAGACACACGCAATCGCAGTGCAACACGCACACACGGAGACAACCAAGGTAACACAAGGCGACACGGCTGCTGCTGCTGCTGCTGCTGCTGCATCTGCTGCTGCTGCTGCTGCTGCATCTGCTGCTGCTGCTGCTGTTGCTGCTGCCAGTGTTCAAGTTTGTTTGCTGCTGCAGCTCTTGCTAGGTCATCATCTGCTGTTGGTGTGGAATCCGTTGCTGCTACAGTTGCTTTGGCTGGGGATGCTTTGCTGCTGCTGCTGCTGCTGCTGCTGCTGTTGCTGCTGCCGTTTGTGGTGCTGCTGCATATGTTTGCTGCTGCTGTGTGTGCTGCGCCGAAGATTCATCTTCTGAGGGGACGGCGGAATCTCCTTGCAGCTGCTGCAGCAGCTGCAGCGGCAGCATCTGCAACAGCAGCGACAGCAGCGGGGAGAAGGGCGTTGTGCTGCAGGACCTTGCCAGCAGCAGAAGGGTGCGCAGCAGCAGCAGCAGAAGCAGCAGAAGCAGCAAGAGCCTCAGGCAACGCAGCAGACGGTCACAGCAGCGGCTGCTACGACGCTCCTCTACACGTAGATCCTTCCGTGTTGCTGCTGCTGCTGCTGCTGCTGCTGCTGCTGATGGAGGCGTCAGCAGGAGCAGCAGCTGCAGCAGCAGAGCCAACAGCAGCTGCACAGACGTCAGTGACCATGAAGACGAAGCAGGAGAACAGCAGCACCACCAGCACGAGCAGCAGCAACAGCAGCAAGAAGAGCAGCAGCAGCAGCAGCAGCAGCAGCAGCACGCGGGGCGGCCATCGCTAGAGAACTGGATGGGGACCTTGGGCCTCGAAAACGTTCCCATAGAAAAACTCATCATACCAGGCAAGACAGCAGCAGCAGCAGCAGCAGCAGCAGTAGATAGCAGCAGCAGCAGCAGTAGATAGCAGCAGCAGCAGCAGCAGCAGCAGTAGATAGCAGCAGCAGCAGCAGCAGCAGTAGCAGTAGATAGCAGCAGCAACAGCAGCAGCAGCAGCAGGAGATAAAGTAGGAGAGTAGCGATTGCCTACAAGCAAAGCAAAGCAACAGTGCAGCAGTAACCAATACAAAACCAAACCCTAAACCCTAAACCCTAAACCCTAATTTTTATGTTGTTGCTGCTGCTGCTGCTGCAGCAACACACAACAGCGCTTCGTGGAGGGTCGCCAGGCTGAACGAGCAGCAGGCCTACTACTGCAGGCTTGTGCAGGTCTGGGTTAGCTGCCAGGTAACCTTGCTGCTGCTGCTGCTGCTGCTGCTGCTGCAGTTGCTGCTCCTGGTGGTGCTTTTGCTGCTGCTCTTGATGGTGTTGTTGTGGCATTGCTGCTGCAGTTTCTGCTTCTCTCGTTGCTGCTGCTGTCCCTGTTCCTCTCCCTGTTGCTGCTGCTCCTGCTGTTACTCCGGCTGCTCCCTCGCTGCTGCTGCTGCTGCTGCTGCTGCTGCTGCTGCTGCAGGAGCTGAGCATATACGAGCAGCTGCGCCGCGGCATCCGGTGGCTGGACCTGCGCTGCTGCAAGAGCCTGGAGGCGGTGACCCTGGCCCCCCGGCTGCGGCAGAAGCGGAGACACAGAAAAGCTGCTGCTGCTGCTATCGCCAGACGACATTCTCTTCGTTTTCCGTCTGCTGCTGCTGCTGCCACCAGCAGCAGCAGCAGCAGCAGCAGCAGCAGTAGTAGTAGTAGTAGTTGTAGTAGTAGTAGTAGAAGAGGCAGCAAGACTGGACGTGCTGCTGCAGATGCAGATAGTCCTGCTGCTGCTGCACACCGCCACGAGCACCAGCAGCAGCAGCAGCAGCAGCAGCAGCAGCACCATCGTCATGAGCATCATCATGAACACCACCACCATCATCACCATCAGCAGCAGCAGCAGCAGCAGCAGCAGCAGCAGCATCAGCATGTAGATGATGAGGGTAGGAGCCCGCCCCGTGCTCACGGTCACCACCACATGAAGCGCGAAGACAGTGGGCAGCAGCAAGACACAGCAGCAGCAACAGCAGCAGCAGCAGCAGCAGCAGCAGCAGCAGCAGCGCATCGAGACGATGCACTAGCAAGAGGAGCTCGGCGCGTTGCTGTTGCCCGGGAGTTGAAAATTTCGGCCCCACAGGCGATCCCCTTCTGCGCCCACGGGGGGGTACTCACTGTGCCGCTGGCAAGTCTGCTGCTGCTGCTGCTGCTGCTGCTGTTGCTGCTGCTGCTGCTGCTGTTGCTGCTGCTGCGTTTGAAGTATTTGCTTGCGGTGGGAGTGTCGCCTTCTTCTGCTGGTTTGCTGCTGCTGTTTCTGCTGCTATCTCTGCTGTAGTTTCTCTTTCTGCTGCTGCTGCAGTTTCTGTTCCTGCTGCTGCTGCTGTTTCTGTTTCTGCTGCTGCTTTTGTTTCTGCTGCTGCTGCTATTCCCCCCCCCACCAGCACCTCGCCGTGTTTCTGTTTCAGTAGCGGTTACAAAAAAGAATCAACTGACGAATCTCCTCACAAGCCGCAAAGAGAAGCAGCAGCAGCAGCAGCAGCAGCAGCAGGTGTGGGGTGTATGTACAGGTGCGTGTACTGGAGGAGGTGCACGAGTTTCTAGAGGAGAATAAAAGTGAAGTAATTTTTTTAAGTTGTGTAGCTGATGAAGGTGTTGTGGGCGAAACTTTTTGTCGACTCAGAGAAATTTCTGCAACAGAAATTCTTTTTTTTATTTCAACTTTTCTTGGAAAGTTTCTCGGGCCGCCACTCACACAGGGAATCACTATACAACAACTTGTGCAGAGGTTAGTGGAACTGATGCAGTTTGTTATTTATTTATTTATATATATATATATATATATATATATATATATATATATATATATATGTATGTATGTATAGAGA